TGTATAAATCCTCTAACTTTTTCAATATTTTATAGTTTTTAGAATATACGTTTTATACTTCTTTTGTTCAGTGGATACCGAAGTACTTTACTATTTTTGATGCTTTTTTGAATGGAACTGTTTTCTCATTTAATTTCAGATTGTTCAAGTGTATAGGAATATATAATTGATTTTTTAAATAAATTTTATTCATTTATTAATGAGAGACACAGAGACACAGGCAGAGGGAGAAGTAGGCTCCATGCAAGGAGCCCAACATGGGACTCAATCCCCAGACTCCAGGATCACGCCCTGGGCTGAAGGCAGGCACCAAACCACTGAGCCACCCAGGGATCCCCTATAATTGATTTTTGTATATTGATCTTGTACCATGATTGCTGAACCCATTTATTCTGATAATTTTTTAGTTAGTTCCTTAGGGTTTTTATATGTGACATTGTGTCATCTGGGAGTAGAGATAGTTTTACTTCTTTCTCTCCAATCTGGATTTCTTTTACTTCTTAATTCTTGCTTCACTGCCCCATCTAGAACCTGCAGGATTGAAGAGAAGTGACTAGAAGTGGATATCCTTGTTTTCTTCCTGATATTATGGGGAAAGCAGCCATGTTTCACCATTAAATATGATGTTAGATGTGGACTTTTTTATCAGGTTGGGGAAGTTCCCTTTTATTTTTAGTTTATTAAGTGTTTTCATATGAAAGGGCATTGGCTATTGTCATGCTTTTTCTGTTTCAGTTGAGATGATCATATGATTTTTGTTTTTTATTCTATGATATGATCTCATCTTAATATATGTTATCAATTTATCAACATTAAACTCTTGGCCAACAGCGCTGTGACTAGCACCTGATGAAAGTTTCTCTAACAGACATCTTCTCCATGGGGCACATCATGCCTTCCTCCACTTAGATGCACCAGGCAGCATGTCAGCACTATGCCTGGGGCTATTTTGAACATCAAGCTTACCAACAAAAAGCACACACAAAAAAGACTAACTAGACTGCAGAAAGGACTTTTTTTTTTAGGATTTTATTTATTTGAGAGAGAGAGAGAGAGAACAGTAGCAGGAGAGAGAAGCAGACCCCCTGCTGAGCAGGGAGCCAATGTAGGCTCCATCCCAGGATCCTGAGATCATGACCTGAGCCAAAGTCAGACACTCAGCTGACAGCCACCCAGGCGCCCAGAAAGGACATTTGGGTTTTTTTTTTTTTTAATTTTTTTTTAATTTTTTATTTATTTATGATAGTCACAGAGAGAGAGAGAGGCAGAGACACAGGCAGAGGGAGAAGCAGGCTCCATGCACCGGGAGCCCGATGTGGGATTCGATCCCGGGTCTCCAGGATCGCGCCCTGGACCAAAGGCAGGCGCTAAACCGCTGCGCCACCCAGGGATCCCAGGACATTTGTTTATAGCACGAGAGCTAAAACAGGAAGGCTATGTCCCCTTGCTCATCCTCAGCTAGAAAAGTGTGCATTATATCAGGCAGCTAAAGTTTCTCAATTTCCCTCCACCCCAATGTCTGGAAATAACTACAGAAGTGCTGCAGGTATTGATGTTGGGGCTACAAATAAATTTTAACAAGTAGTTGAATTTGCAAATATGGAATCTATGAATAATGAAAATCGACTGTATTTTGAACTTACATATTTATGTTCTGAGAAGTGTTTAAGGTACTAATGTATTCTGTCCTAAGCAGTTCTAATATATGAAAATAGCTTTATTATAAGGAATAATTAAATGAATGATAGAAGTCAAAGGTATAAACTTCCATTACAAATAAAGAAGTCTTGGGGATGTAATGAAAGCATGATGATTATAGTTAATGATACTCCATTGCATATCTGAAAGTTCCTAAATGATATGAAAAGTCCTTGAGGGAAGAAAAAGGAACAAAGGCCGGGTTTTGCTGCTGTTCGCCTCCACGCAGATTGAAACAGTCCTCCAGCCCCTGCAACCACTTCCTTTAATACTCTACCTGGTAGCTTGGCCCTTGTGGTGTTTCTTTGCTCTGATAACCAGACACCTCCACCCAAGAGGCATGTTCGCAGTCATCTCACAAACATGGGGCCCACTGATACATCTGAAGGGGTTCACGACTAACGTTCGCTTAGACAGTAGTGAAGACCTTGAACAGCGGCTAATCCCACAAGGTTTTGGAAGCTCTGCTTCCAAATGCCTTAGAGACACGGTCCCTAACCCCCACTAACTAAGATGTATGTATCAGTCATACCTCAGCTCCAGTGCAGCTCTTTCTACCTCAGGGCCCTGTTGAGGTACTTTAATTAAAAGCATGTTTTCTCACTGAAAACATCTCAAGAATTCTTTCTTGACCATTCACTCCCAGCCCCACACCAGTCCTCCTCATGAGAACAAAATGTAGGGTAACTATATATGGTGACAGATGTTAACGAGACTTCTTATGGTGATAATTTGCAGTGTATACAAACATTGAATCATGACGTCATATGCTTGAAATTAATATATGTCAGTTATACCTCAATTGAAAAATAAAACAAGAATAATTAGGAACTTTTTTTTAAAGGGAAGTTCTGGGTAAGATTTATGGAATGTTAGAGAGCCAGAAGAAACCCTAGAGATTTTCTAGAACCCCAGGCCTCTCTTAACACATGTGGAGGCCTCCAGAGAAGTTTCAGAGTTAAACCAGGTAGGCAGTAACAGTCCTGGGCTAGAATGCAGATCCCCTGACTGCTTTCTAGTTCAGTGTTCCTCCTGCTGTATTCAGCTCTTCCACAGATCTTGGGGTTAAAAGGGACTTAAGTCATTCCATGGGAGCACTTAGAGAATATGTAACCAAAAAAAAAGAAAAAGAAAAAAAAATTATCACTTTCTTTCTGGAAGTGGCGAAAGTGGAAGACATCTGGTTTATATGCACCAGGTCGGACCACGTTCAAGACTTACAAACAAGTATGTGCTCTGTTGGTCACGACCTGAGCTGCAGGTATATGCGCCACCTGGAGGTCCAGAAACTATATTTAAACAGTTGGTCTGGGATTCAACAACTCATTCAAAACTACTCTACTCTTTTTATTCACAAATGAGGCACTTGTGAATCCTTTTGCAGATAACTTCCCACAGGAGGAACTTAAGAGTTAGATGAACCAGGCTTCACACTACTAGTGAATGACTGAGTCTAGATGAGACTCCAACCCCAATCTCCTGACTCTCGGCTTCATATTCTCTGTCACCTCAGGCTACTGCATGATTTTATTACAACACCTGTTCAACAGTCTGGACATGAGAAAAGTGACTCCGAAACACAGAACCCTGGCAACAGAATATCCACTGACCAACGATCTTTTTTTTTTTTTTTAAAGATTGTGTTAATTTTGAGAGAGAGCGCCAATGAGTGTGAGCAGGGTGGGGGCAGTCCCCGAGGGGGAGAGATAATCCCAGCACACTCCCCACTGGGTGCCAGCCAGTCTCACCCACCCCAAGATTAGGACCTGAGCTGAAATCAAAAGGATGTTTAACTCACTGAGCCACCCAGCGCCACCCTCTTCGTGCTGCTTGGGAGTCATCTAGTCCCACCCATGGACTGTTCTTTTTTCATTGTTTTGTTTGGGAAAAATGCTTCTTACAAAAGGGCAACTGCAGAATAGAGTCCTCTGCAACATTCACTTGTTTTTTCTTAAAGTGAAAGAACGGGTGGGATCCAAGGAATCAAAGCAGCAGATGTGGTGTAGGAAAGATGTTAGGGCTTGAAGCTGGCAGCTGAGAAAGAATTCTTGAGATGTCTTTGGTGCAAAATGGTGGTTTTATTAAATAATGCAGGGAGACAGGACCTGTGGGCAGGAAGCTGCCCTGGGGTCACTAGGAGGGGCCCAGTACATACTTCAAGTCTGGAGGGGCTTAGGGAGAGCAGGAGTCTCTAAGGAATTTGGAAGCAAGGTCTTCAGGACCCAAGGGGGCTGGCTCTTGTTGGGGGAGGTCCTTGATTTCTGTTCAGTAAAACGTGAGTCGTGAGGCCCTTCACATGTATACGGGTGGGTCATATGCTTGGGGGGTGACTGCCAGCATGTGTCTTGGGAGGTAGAGATAAAAGTTTCCAAAGGAATTTTTATGTGTTAAAGTAGATTTACAAGATTCTAGAGGTTCGGCTAAGACTGCCTTGTGCCCTTGGAAAACAGTTCCTAGGGGAAGGTCCCTCTGCCTGTTTCAAGGACAAATCAATGGGCTGTAAGTTGTAAGGGAATTTAATAGTTTTTTCTTATGCGTTTGTTTCCCACATCAGATGGACCAAGGAGAAAGGTCTCCAAGTTATTTTAGGAACTAGAATAACAAAACTCAAAGCTAAAATCTCCAATCAAGAAATTCCTTTTTTTTTAAATTTTATTTATTTGAGAGAAAGGATGGGAGAGAGAACGGGAGAGCACAAGTGTTGGAGAGGAAGAAGCAGGTTGCCCATCCAGCAGGGAGCCCAATGCGGGCTCGACCCCAGGACTCTGGGATCATGACCCAAGCCAATGACAGCCACTTTAACCTGATGAGCCACCCAGGCGCCCCTCCAGAAAGTCTTCTAACCACTTTGGCTTATCTTGTGGATTACCAGCTCTGCTCCCCCTTTAGTGGAAAAGCGTGACTTACTCCTGCAAACCAAATACTCCACTACAAGAAATACCTTAGAATTTTTTTTTTAAAGATTTATTTATTTATTCATGAGAGACACAGAGAGAGAGGCAGAGACACAGGCAGAGGGAGAAGCAGGCTCCACACAGGGAGCCCGATGTGGGACTCCAGGATCATGCCTGGACAAAAGGCAGGTGCTAAACCACTGAGTCACCCAGGAATCCCCCATAGTTTTTATTTAAACAATAAACACGTATCACACAAAATATGCCCTACCTGTGTGCATTGTGTCCTACCTTAGAGTCAAATAGTTTATGATGTTTGATAGATTGCCAATATTTCCGTGTACTCTGTCCTCCTCCTTAATGCTAAGATGTGTAGAGGAAATTCTTTCTCTTTTCCGTCCATTCCAGAGTTCTTCGGATGCTCCATATTTGGCCAGGCATGTCGGTTTGCGTGTGGGAGTCCCAAAAGAGGTCCCAGCTTTCGTTGTTAATAGACTCTGTGGCTCTGGTTTCCAGTCCATCGTGAGTGGATATCAGGTATGGACAACATTTTATTACTTCTCTGAGAATATGTTAAAAGTTATTGGAGGAAATGCCCCACTTCAGTATAATACTGTAGGTTTTTATTTTATAGCGCATTACTGGGAAAGGTCAATATTTGATTTTTCTTGGAAAAGTATTCACAGGAAGAAAATCGTTTCTTAAAAGCTTTAACAGATCTTTGAAGCACGCTAAATGGAATACGTGAGTCACGAAAGGACCAATACTGTATGATTTCGCTTATATGGGCAGTCAATTCATAGAGACACAGTAGGACAGTGGGAAGGGAGGAGGAGAACATGAAGAGTTCGTGTTTAATGGGTACTGAGTTTCAGCTGGCAAAGCCAGAAAGATATCTGGAAGATGCGTAGAGGTTGGTCACACAACAATGTGAATGTACCTAATGAACTGTACACTTAAAATTGGTTACAATGGTAAATTTTAAGTTTTGTGTATTTTATCACAATTTTTTAAAAAAGCTAATCATGACTGTCATTTTTAGCAAGTGCTTCCTGTGTGCTTGACTTATGCTAGATTTACATTCAGCATCTCACTTCATCTTCACAACCATCTGATGAGGCCAGAACTACCACTTTTCCCATTGAACAGGCAAGGAAGCTGATCAGTAAGGTTACTAAGTCATAGAGGCAGAACTTGAACCCAGGTCTGTGAGAGTTGGAGGATTTAGGGGATGATAAGAAATGTATTCCTTTTTTAACAGTTACTTAGGCAAATACATGTGTTCCCTTGAGCACAGGGGTAAGGGATACAGTGAAATCCAATTTTATTTGTCCAGGTCTTCACTTTTTTACAGAATGAAAGACACAGATGTGTTATAATGAATAAATTATTTTCATGTGAATTTATTTTTATAATGATATATCTGAAACAGTGACCCTGGTTTTCCTAGCAGTCACTGCAAACACTGGGCTCAGAAGGCTTGTTACTTGCTTCTTATCCAAGAAATATAAATAGTAGAAAATGTTAAGAAGGATGAAATGGCTTTCTTTTTATGAGCTCCCTCAGTTAACCCAGTTCTTGTAAGTCCATGGTCTGCTTCGGTTTCATCCATTAATGGGATAAAATCTGTTTCTGTCCTTTTAAACGATTTGTTCTTTATCATCAGCTCACAATCTGTATATTACGCGGGGCATTAATATCTCCGCTGATTTTCAAGACTTATATTGAGTTAAGAATTCTCATTCCTTGCCAAAATGTAGGTAGGATTTGTCACTAGTGCATAAATGATTGAAATCTGTTAGTTTTTTCTCCTCTTGAATCTTGGGAGTGGATACTGAACATTTGCTTTACCTGACAAGTATTTCCTTTTGAGACTGTAAACTAGGATATGTAACTCATTAAATTTGCTGTGAGTTTACTGCTTCATACACAACTTCTGTCACAATAAAAGGTTTTTTGTTATTGTTGCTCATTTGTTTTCAAATAGGAAATTTGTGTTAAAGATGCTGAAGTTGTCTTGTGTGGAGGAACCGAAAGCATGAGCCAGTCTCCCTACAGTGTCAGAAATGCGCGCTTTGGAATCAAGTTTGGATCAGATCTCAAGGTTGGAACCATTAAAATGTTTGAAGATTATGTGCCATGCTATTATGCTAGTAATTTTAATAATGCCATTTTGGGAGAGAGAAAACAGATTTTGAAACCAGTTTTGCTAATAGGGGATTGACAAGTTACAAATGACTTGAAATATGTAAACTATTTCAAAACCCCAGTTTGGTTTTTATTTTGGCATTTTAGCCCACCTTTAAAAAGAAAAACAAAACACATAGACGTTATCTCAACACACTTCTGGTCATGGAGAGATGGAAGAAGGGAGATGGAGGAGGGGAAGAGAGATCAGAAGGATAGGCAGAAATTGAAGTAATTAGTTTCTCTACTGAATAATTGGTAAACCCAGTAATTAAATCTTTACCATGATTTATGGAAGTTTATTTTTGGAGCAATCTCCATTGAATAGATAGCTTCTTCTTCACAGAAAACTTATCTTTGTTTTTGGGGTTTTAAGATTTTATTTATTAATTCATGAGAGACACAGAGAGAAAGAGGCAGAGACACAGGCAGAGGGAGAAGCAGGCTCCATGCAGGGAGCCCGACGTGGGACTCGATCCCAGGACCCCGGGATCACGCCCTGAGCCAAAGGCAGACACTCTACCAGAGCCTCCCAGGCTCCCTGTTTAATTTTTTTTAAATATTCTCTTTAAATATAGATGATATTGTCCTAAACCAGTCAGACAAAAACTGGTCTTCATATCTTTGAGAGCTACAGCGAGGGAATGACAGTAACCGATAAAGAATGCCAGTGTGTTGTCCCTCCAATGTCAGAGGGCTAATGACATCTTCTGTTGTTAGCATTTTCTGACGGTAATGACTGGTTTATACTGTTCACCCAGTTCCTCCTTGGCCTTTTTGAAAGTGGAAGGAATAAGACTTAGAAAATACAAGATAGTATTTTAGACACCAAGCGTATTTGAGAAAACCTTTGGAAAGATAGGTCAGTGATGAGTTGGTCTAGAAGAAACAGAAGGGGCACACGCCTCAGAGACTAACCAATTGGATAGTAAGTAATAACTTTTTCTGTTCCGCAAGGAACCTGTCCAGGTTCTCATCCACCTCACAGTAAGTAACAGAACGAGCAATTCCTGTCACTGAAGGAGCACAGACACGCTCTTCCTGCAGAGCTCAGAGCTGTGGTTCACTTTAAATGAGCAGGGAAACACGGCATGAGGACCGGGTGTTGGATTTCTTACAAAACATAGCCTTTGGGGTTTAGTTTTTGATTGTAGGATGACTTGCTGTGTTCTCTCCCTGCACAGTTAGCACTGTTGCCTCTCTTGAGTGCCTCCCCATTTAGAGAAAGAGGAGAATGTGTCCATTTTATTATGGCATTGGGTGTTTTGTAAAATGTCCCAGAACCAAAGATGAATAGTAGTAATAGTAAATGTTACCAGAAAAATCTAATTTTACTTTCATTTATTGGAACTATGAAGTATTTAAACATAAAGATATTACAGCATATTACTTTCAAAAGATACACTTTAACCAATCACTTTATTATTCATGTCTTTTCATAGCTGGAAGATACTTTGTGGGCAGGATTAACAGATCAGCATATCCAACTGCCCATGGGAGTTACTGCAGAGAATCTTGCTGCAAAACATAATATAAACAGAGAAGACTGTGACAAGTATGCCCTGCAGTCACAGCAGAGGTGGAAAGCTGGTCAGTGAAATGGGACATTCTTAATATCTATAGAAGAAAACTAGGAGGGGTGGGCAAAATGGGCGGAGGGAGTCAAAAGTCCTAAAATAAAGTAAGTCCTAAAATAAAGGTTTAAATTAAGTCCCAGGGATGTAATGTTCAGCATGGTGATCATAGTTAATAATACTATAGCCCATATTTGAAGTCACTAATAGAGTAGATCTTAAAAGTTCTTATCACAAGATAAAATGTGTGCAGCTATGTAAGGGGACAGATGTTAACTAGACATAGAGCAGCGAGCTCTTTGCAATGCTGTATACACAAATATCCAGTCATTATGTTGTATACCTGAAACTGATACCATGTTTCATGTCAGTTATACCTCGGTTTAAAAAAATAGAAAAGATTTCTGTTGTTTTCAGATTATAATGACCCTGTAATAACATTTGTTTAAAATTATACCTTTTGAAAATCACATTTTTTGTCATTCCTTTGTTTTTAGATGAGCAGATATTCTATTAGTGATTGCGAAATTAACCAGAAATCTCTCTTTTGAAATACAATAATACTACTCAAAAAGTGGCATTGTTAATTGACCTTATCGGGCCCCTTGAATTTTGTCCTGAACTGGTTTTGTTATCAGTAGAACATTCTGCTCTGAGGGCTCTGATACTGTGAGAGACAATGGCCCACGGGGGCTGCTGGAACTGAGTGGGTGTTCTCCTCTGTGAGGCATACATACTCACAGGGAGGGGAGGACGTGTCTGCAAAGGACTCACTGGGTATTCTTCTGTGCCTTACTCCTCCCATCCCTAATCGAGAATCATTGCACCCTGACTCAAAGACTCAGAACTGCCCAAGGCCGGGGCTGCAATGCCCTTGATATAAGCCTCCACACTACTGTCAGACCAGTCCAGAGTGGGCACCATGACAGTATGGTGAGTCGAAGAAATTTGTTAGTCTCCTGAAGAAGATTTCTTTAAATTAAGCTATTTCAAATGAGCAGCAACTCCTAATTTAGGGCTGTCAGATACCTGGAATAGTGAGAATAAAGCCCATTTCAGAGGGATAAGTGGAATGGAGCCAATGTCAACCAGCTCATTCTCTGTGTTTGAGTTACATGTTTAAAGCGGGAGGGTGTTGACCCAGAGGTCAGGAGGCATCAGTTCTGTTTGTATTTTTGCCACATACGAATTCTTTGACCTGAGTCAAGTCATTTATTCACTGAGCATCTGTACAAAGAGATAAAAATTATTTGCCTCCCCTTTCCCCTAATAGTTGTTGTGAAAGCCAAATAAGGGAAGTGTGTAGCCTGCTACAAAGGAATATGAAAAGTAAGGTGGTTTCACTCCTGGCGTATTCTGTTTGTGAAGCCATAGGTTACCATAGTCCATTCTAGTCTGCAAGGTGCAAGGAGGTAAGCTGTTTCCCTTAGAACTGTGTCAGTAATCGCTCAGAGAATTTCTTCGGGTTGCTTGTCATTAAATTTCACTCATGGATCCATTGGACCCAGATCAGTAACTTCTAGAGACGACCTTTTTTCTTACTGTGGTCAAGACACTGAACATAAGTTGTACCTGCTTGACACATTTTTAAGTGTGTGTCACTATTGTACAACTTGGTAACTTTTAAATGACTTCTTATCTTACCCTGAGAAGTTTAAATGAGACATTAAGTTTACTTAGTGCTGCTGTAGCTGTAACTTACATACCAGGACTGCTTATAATCTAGTGATACCTTGTAAAAAAAACTGTAGTAAAAAGGATAAAAATTATAATTTTAAAAAGATGCAGAATGCATTACTATAGATTCATGGCAGTACATGCAACTCTCCAACAGGCAACGAAGTTGTACGTGAAACAGAAGTAGGTGGTGAGGAAAGGGTGGGGCAGAAATTAGATTGAAGATCGTGTTTGATTTCGTTTCTTAGATCTTCTCTTTTTCCCATTCTCACGATGGTCTTCCTCGTGTTTCAGCTAATGATGCTGGCTATTTTAATAACGAGATGGCACCAATTGAAGTGAAGACTAAAAAGGGGAAACAGACAATGCAGGTAGATGAGCATGCCCGGCCCCAGACAACCCTGGAGCAGTTAAATAAACTTCCCCCCGTGTTCAAGAAAGAGGGAACTGTAACTGCGGGGAACGCATCGGTAGGTGGCGCCACAGATCATCCTGGGCTCTTGCTGGTGTGTTCAGTGCAAAGCAGTCGCGTGGTATCTTTGGGTTACTCCAGGTGCTAGTCGTTAGCTATTTTGCTTAACCTGGCAGTGTTCCTATTCTGTGAATGGAGGTTTTCACAATCCCAGACAATATTTTACCCCAAAGATACAGATGCAATGAAACGCCGGGACACCTGCACCCCGATGTTTCTAGCAGCAGTGTCCACAATAGCCAAACTGTGGAAGGAGCCTCCGTGTCCATCGAAAGATGAATGGATAAAGAAGATGTGGTCTATGTATACAATGGAATATTCCTCAGCCATTAGAAACGACAAATACCCACCATTTGCTTCGAGGTGGATGGAACTGGAGGGTATTATGCTGAGTGAAATAAGTCAATCGGAGAAGGACAAACATTATATGGTCTCATTCATTTGGGGAATATGAAAAATAGTGAAAGGGAATAAAGGGAAAGGAGTGAAAATATCAGTAAGGGTGACAAAACATGAGAGACACCTAACTCTGGAAAACGAACAAGGGGTAGTGGAAAGGGAGGTGGGCAGGGGGTTGGGGTGACTGGGTGACGGGCACTGAGGAGGGCACTTGGCGGGATGAGCACTGGGTGTTATGCTAAATGTTGGCAAATTGAACTCTAATAAAAAAATGAAAATACATATATATTTTTAACTCTCATATAATGTGCTTCCAGTTTCTTAGTCTCTTCAGAATATTATGAGGAACCTAGAAGGAAATCTACTTGGTTATTGTTTCAGTTTTCATGGGTTTGTCAGTTTGTTTGTTTCTCTGCTGTATACAGCTCATTAGGTTTCTTACATCTCCCCACATCCGGACATCAGCTTTTCAGGAACATTGTTTCCTGCATTGCTAAGGTTGTTTTCTGTGCCTAATATAGTTTCTGATCCACCAGACCACTGTGAGCACTAGCTGTGCCCCACACTGTGTCACTGCTTCCTATGTGATTCCGTAATCCTAACACTACTCCCTTATTCAAACCTCGATGCACTGGGCCCTTTGCCCTCTAGCTAACCCTCTGTTTTTGTTTCCAAGGGGGTATCTGATGGTGCTGGAGCCGTTATCATAGCTAGTGAAGATGCTGTTAAAAAACATAACTTCACACCACTGGCAAGAATTGTGGGCTATTTTGTGTCTGGATGTGACCCCTCCATCATGGGTATTGGTAAGTTCATCGTGAAGCGAACTGATTCTGTTACATTTCTGGAGAGAAGTCTTCCCTGGCATTTAGATACCTGAGACAGTGGCCAAATCAGGGTCACGTGTGAAGGAAAGGAGGTTGGTAGTCAGTGGTTTCAACAACTCCTCTTTCAGAAAACCTGTGCCAGGGATAAGAGGAAAACCTCGACTGTGTAAACTGCTCCTGGGCATTAATCACACCTCACTGTCCATTTGGGATATTTAAAACTTGCCCCCAGCGAATCACAGAGGAGAGTTACAAGGTGCTGACCAGATGAGAGAACGGGCAAGGAGTGGGCCTGGGGACAAACAGAGATGGCTCAGGGCTAGATGTTCTGCACACAGCTGCTGGTGTCTCATCTCCTCTTCCCACAACCCCTCTGTGAAGGAGAAAACTGAGGCTTAGGGCAGTTGTCTTGTCAAGTCCAGACCAGGAAGTGATGGAGCCAGGATGGGAACTGGGCCTCTCTAATTCAGGTGCTCTTCTCACTGTGTTGTCTCAGGAAGTCGAGGTCATGCCCACCTGGCTCGGCTGCGGCTGAATAGGAAAAGGGAGAAGTGTAGTGAATCTCGGTTGATAAAGATTAGCAGGAGGACTCCCTACAAGTGGGTGTAGGTGACCCATGAACAGGGTGGGGGGCAGAAGTGCCAACCATCATGCAGTCGAAATCCAACTATAACTGTTACTTCCCCCAAAACCAAACTACTAATAGCCTATGTGGCCCAGAAGCCTTACTGATAACGTAAACTTTTAACACCTATTTTGTATGTTACATGTAATATCTACTGTGTTCTTATGGTAAACGAGTCAAAAGGAAATGTGATTAAGAAAACACATTTATAGTATTGCCCTGTCTTTATGCAGAAAGTCTGCATGTAAGTGGATCTTCTCAGTTCAAACTTGTGTTGTTCAAGGGCTAACTGTATGGTCTTTCTTGGCTTGAAAAAATATGAATTAGAAGGAGAACAGAGAGCGTTCTGGTGGATACACTCCTAGGAACCGCAGATGATACTGAATTCTAATAATGTCTGTCGTCATTGTCCAGGAAACAGAACTGATGAGGAGCCTCACTTACAAAAATATTAGCGCCTGGAAGCTTTGTCATCTCCTACCTATGTCCTCATACCCCAAAGAAAAGTCTACCCTAGGGCTAGATTCAGATTCTTGAGAAGTCCAGAGATTTTCTTATGAGCTTAGTTAGGCCTTTTCCAACTAACTGTTTATGAAGTAGGTCTCAGGGTAGAAGGGAGTTGGTCTGTTGCTGACCTGTGTTCTCAGAGGTCTTCAGGGTATGCCTCAAGGATCTATGCGAGTCATGACCACTTGTGCTCGTTTGGCACTGAGTTAATACCCGACCATATGTGCTGCCTGGTCCTTCAGAGATTTATCTCTATAGAATTCCTAAGAAAGAAAGCTGGCCTGTCCACATTTTGTCATTTTCACTGTGTGTCAAATTACTTTAACCAGAACTGCAAGCTATGTAAATATCTGTTAAAAGTCAATTTTTTCTATGTCTCAGGTTTAAAGCTTATTAGCTTTTAGCTACTCACTGTCAGCAAAACATAGCTTTTGTTTTAGAGACGGAAGGTAGCTTTAAAAAGTAAACGTTTGTGTGTTAGTGTTGCATTTACCACCACAGTGGACAGCCCCCATGGGGGTTGGTTTCCCAGCCCCCATGTGATCATCAAAATCTACCCATAACCCCACCCCGAAAGATTTTGTTTCATAGTTCCAGGGTGCAGCCTGGGAGAATGGCTTTGTTTTTTGTTTTTGGGGTTGTTTTTTTTTTTTTTTTTTTTGAAAAGCACTTATTAGCATTTAATGAACCTCCCCCTATGTGGCTTCAAGCTACTAGAACGCAGGCGCCCCCCACCCCCTTTATCTTCTCCTCAGCTCTTCTACTGAAGAATTTGGCCTTCATGATGACAGGCTGTTTTGGGAGCTTTCCCTTTCCCAAAACTTTGTAGTAGCCCGATTGCACCACATCGATAATAGGAGCAGCCCCAGTCTTGTTTTTGGCAGCATTTACCCGTGTCTGCTCACTAACTAAGGTCCACAGTTGATCAAGGTTGACAGTTGGGCAGAAGCTCTGGTTCCTCTTTAAGTGGTAATGTCTCATACCGACTTTTCCAAAGTAACCTGGGTGATACTTGTCGAAGTTGATCCTGTGATGATGCATGCCACCAGCGTTACCCCAGCCTCCTGGGTGCTTCCGGTGTTTGCCGATGCGGCCGTGGCCATGGCTCACGTGGCCCCGAAGTTTCCGGGTCTTCCTCAGTCTGGATGGCATGTTGGCGGCCCAGAGGAAAAAGCTACCTGAATGGTTTTGATGATCAATCATATTTATCTGATATAGAAAAGTAGTTATTTTATAGTTCTTTTTCAGTTTAACCTCATTGAATAGGTTCTGATATATTCACATGGCCAGTGAGCAAAGAAAATATAGTTTTTCTTCCTTTTCTTCCAGGGTCTGGATGTTGGCCCTGTAGTCCAATGAGCACCATTGTGTGTTCACACTGTGTGAACACCATTGGACTTGTTTTTTCCCTTAGGGCTTGAATAGAGCCATAAAAACCACATGTCCCAGTGTCAGATGTCCCTCCTCCTAGACAGCTGTCTGTCCGTGGTCGTATGGGACTCAACGAGGTAACTACACGAAGTACTTGGCGAAGTTTGGTAACTACACCAAAGGAACAAACAGAGATAGTGGGTCATTGACTGGTGGGATTGAGTCATCATTCCAGTTTCTAAGAATAGTTTCCTCAGTTATGCAGTTAGCCAGCATCTAGCAGCCCTTAGCCTTGCAAGGACCTGCAGCAAGAGCTGCCGACCCAGAAAAAGGAGGAAAGCCAAGACCTGAGAGTAGTAGTGGCTCCCAGGAAGGATACATATGGAAACACAGCACTCCCTGGAACTCCCCAGGGGTGGCCATGGTGGGTGAAGCTTTGAACCTCTGTCGCTGTAGCAGCTCTGGCTTTATCTTCTCTTGGGCTTTATTTGTAGAAAGAATTCCAATAGTTAAAAAGAAGAAGGTCAAAAACCAGTTGAAAGCCTTCTGATGAGATGTTTACACCCCACAAAGATGCCAAGATCACATAGCTTTAGTGGTAGGACTAGGAATGAGGTCTCCTTTTCCGACGAGAATGCTCTAACTTCCTGAGTCCCAGTAAATAACATGGCTGTGGCCCAGTGTTTGGAATAATTGACTGTAACGATTCTAAGTTGACAGTGCCCTGAGTCATGCTTTCTATGGATATGAAGACAAGGAGGTATGTAGAGTGGAGCTACACCCTCTGCTCTTCGTTCTGTGTGTCTTTGACCCTGTAGGATACTCATCCCTGACCATGCTGGATAACCGGTGCTCTACTACTATCTATCCTATTTTTGTGCCTTAGACATACAAAGAGAATCTAGAACTAGGTTCTATGTTAAATCAGTAGTTAGAATGAAGAGCTCTCATTGGATGCCCCTCACCTATAAGCAGACTGTTGTCCAAAGAACATTTTAATTAGGTGACAAAACAAATTACATTGTGCTTAAATTGTACCATGCTTTTCTTTTAAAGACTGATTCCCTAAAGAGGAAAGGAGAAAAAATGAGTGGGAAATATTAGAAAGGGAGACAGAATGTGAGAGACTCCTAACTCTGGGAAACGAACTAGGGGTGGTGGAAGGGGAGGTGGGCAGGGGTGGGGGTGACTGGGTGACGGGCACTGAGGGGGGCACTTGATGGGATGAGCACTGGGTGTTATTCTATACGTTGGCAAATTGAACACCAATAAAAAATAAATTTATAAAAATAAAGACTGATTCCTCATCTTACTTAGGAGTATTTATGGAACTGTTGCAGAATATTTGACTACTTAAAATTCAACAGAACATACCATATTTTTTTAAGACATTTGTGGCAATTTTATTCTCCAAGAATAGATAGCGAATTAGATAATCTCCTCCAGCCAGCTTTTTTACCATTTGGGGAAAAATATTAATATACTTAAAAATTATGAGAGCATTAAATGGTTATTGGTGATTATCAATAATCTGGGAGCTAAAGTCTTATTTTGGCAGATTTGCATTTCTGCAGTGGGGGTTTTGTTTCATTTAAATTCTCTCGCAGGGATCCCTGGGTGGCTCAGCGGTTTGGCGCCTGCCTTCAGCCCAGGGCGTGATCCTGGAGTCCCAGGATTGAGTCCCACGTCAGGCTCCCTGCATGGAGCCTGCTTCTCCCTCTGCCTGTGTCTCTGCCTCTCTCTCTGTGTGTGTGTGTGTTTCTCATGAATAAATAAATAAAATCTTAATTAATTAATTCTCTGCCTGTGTTTGGCATTATTCGTGCTTCTTTGCTTTGAATATCTTTTCCCTAAAGTGCCTATGGCTTCCTGCCTTGTACCCACGTGGAGATGCTACTACTGTTTCTTGCCTTTTGTCTAGATAGGCCTGAAAATTCAGAGGGTGCCACAGTCACTTCTCTGCTAGGAATGTGTGTGATTTGGGTCCCAGGCACTTAGACTGCCTTGACGCTGGGCATGAAGTGTGATCTGTAAGTGACTGTGAAACCCCATAGAGCACTCCTTTGGCTCTCTGAACTCTTCCAGCCATTTGCAGTAGAACCTTCATGTGAGCCTCTCATTTACAATTTTGCATAACCAGCTTTTCACTTTAGTTCTATTTTTTTTTAATTGTCACATCATTGACTAATGTGCCATCAAGGTAGCAAGATTTGTGACTGCTAATAATGTCACATTATTTCTTCCTTACTTACCTGGTTAGTGAAGAAGGAGAAATTTGACAAATAAATATGAGATGAAACTGATTTTGTTCTTCTATAGGGCCTGTCCCTGCAATCAATGGAGCACTGAAAAAAATAGGACGGAGTCTCAAGGACATGGATTTGGTAGAGGTAAGTGTTATACTTTTTTACATGAATAAACCACCAGTGTCTGTAGCATAAATGGTTTTAATATGGCATTTTACAGCTTTTTGTTGTTGTTGTTTCTGTGCTATTAGCCTTTCCAAATGACGTCCAAGTAAATATTACTTTTGTTACATGCTTTGAGTCGATACTTTACCTGACTAGAATGCTTTATGTATATTCAAATAATTAAAACAGCCTGATTTCTCCTTAAAACATGAATTCCTGGAAACTTCTTAGCACCTTATAAGACTATTGCATTTTAGACTACCAGTGTGCCTATTGAACTAAATTGAATATTATATAAGGTAGATGAGAAATGAGTAACTTCAACCTTTTATGGATTGAAATGAAAAAATATAAGCAAAAGAATTGACATAGTAGAAAACAATATCTGGTGCCAAATCTAGAAGTTTCTTATTCTCTCCCTAACTTAAAACTCTCCCTCCCCCAAACTTACCTTTGGCTGTTACACCATAGTTGTGGCTAGATTTGTGATGTCATAATTTTTGGCATAGAAAACTTAAGTTTATTAGTATGGTGATTTTTTTTAATGTTAGTTTAGATAGAGCAAAGGCGTCTTAAGTATTTAGACAATTAAACGGAAGAGTGGAAAAGAAAATAAAGTTGGATTATATACATTTTACATTTGGGGACTATTTGAAAGTTTTAGGTAATTAAACATGTATGCTGCTTGACACTGGGAAATAACTAATATAACAAAGGAAATCTATTGAAGTTGGTAGAGAAAGGGCCTTCTCAGCACAAGTGTGCTCTCCTCTGATGAGCTCTCATCTAGGAAACTACGGTTTTAGACAAACAGCTTATCCTTAAATCCCTCTTCCATTCTTAGAGCCTCAGGGGGCTGCTTACTTATCATATTTATATTAGCAAATAATGTCCCTAAATTCCTGACTCTAGATTTCACACTTAAAACTCTTTAAATATGTCAGCTCTGCAAAGTTATTCATAATCATTTATAGATGTATATGTCTGCAAGAACATAGCTCTCAACACCATGATATGATTGTCTTTGGGATGTCTGATGATCCACATGGTGGTTCATCCTGAGTTCAAAAACATAGTTTCACTAGCTCATATTCCAGATCTCTCAGTACCCCTTTAAGCATGTCCATGTAAAATGGAAAAATAATGTAGGACCTAAGGATAAACAAAACACCATCTTGGAAATACATGAAATATAATAGGAAAGAACACAGGACAGAATTTTGATCTCAACTCTGTAACAAAGTTACCTTTCTTAAAATCAGTTTTCTTAGCTATAAAATTTTCTAGCTAAAATCATATGAAACTATAGTGCTATGAACTTGAAGGTAATTCTCATAGCCAACCTTGCTAAGTGAATACAATATGATACTTTTCAGAGCTGCCAGATTTCAGCACAGTAACCATCCTTGTATGTAGGTGGCTCTGAAGGTTTAAACCTTCTTGGTTGTGTCAGTTTCTTCTTGGAAGAATGGCTAGTAGTACTGGGCAATAATAGCAATAACAGGAGCAACCATCTCCTGGAGCTTGGCATGTGTCAGGTAATACACTTAATACCCATGATTTCATTTAACCTTGACAGTAACTCCTAGGATGTACTACAGGCATATTTTACTGTTGAGGGAACCTTGAGTGTCAAGAGTTTAAAGAGCATGCATACAGCCAAGACTTGAGCCATCCCTCTGGCTTCAGAACCTCTGGGCTATCTCCCACAGCCTCTAGTAGGCCTCCACTCATGAAATTGCTGAGGATTTCTTTTCTCCAAGGGATGCAGTTGACTTAAAGTATCAGTTGGTAAATATACCCGTTTTCAAACTTGGTATCTTTATAAAGAGCAGTTGAAGATAAAATGACATTGCAAGGTAGTTTTTTTTCTGTGTGTTTTGTTTTGTTTTTATTTATTCGTGAGAGACACACAGAGGCAGAGACACAGGCAGAGGGAGAAGCAGGCTCCCTGCGGGGGAGGCTGATGTGGGACTTGATCCCAGGACCCCGGGGTCACGCCCTGAGCCAAAGGCAGATGCTCCACCACTGAGCCAACCAGGTGTTCCCGTAAGGTAGTTTAAATAGGGGGGAAAAAAAAGAGCAAAAGTAGCCATCACTAGGATGAGACAAGTCTCAGTTAAAAATCAACTTATGAACAAAGATTTTGATCCATGTTTTGATTATTTTTAGGTGAATGAAGCTTTTGCTCCTCAGTACTTAGCAGTTGAAAAGAGTTTGGATCTTGACCCAAGTAAAACCAATGTGAATGGCGGAGCCATTGCTTTAGGTCATCCCCTGGGAGGATCTGGAACAAGAATTATGGCACACTTGGTTCACGAATTAAGGTATGTGCTAGAAACTGTTACATTTCATATTTGCCATCTTTGGTAAAAATGCATGGATTTGGGTTTCCTCAGAGCAGTCCAGTATTTTTCATTCTTCTTCAAATCCCCTTCTGCTGATTCTCACCAGGTCTCTCTCTCTCAGACCCATTTTACAGTCTCACCAGGAACAAGTTATTTGGGGACACCCCTTTTTGACTGATATTATAGATGATTGATTGACCTGTTAGTGGCTCCGCACTTGGGATGTGCACGCTTCCTTGTGTTTGCCTCGTGCTCACCCGGCTCCTCCCCAGTGCTGCCCCCCACCCCCCCAACTCCCCCACCCCAGGGCTGGTGCATAGCAGTCAGCACTACCAAGGCTCTGGCCGTCGTGCTGTGCTTGCACTCTAGTGCCAGTTACAAGAAAGATAAAATTATTTAGGAGAACAAAGTATTGGGAGGATTCTGGTCTAGATGCTGTCCTTTACGGAACCTAAGCAAACTACTCCTGTGGGTCTGAACTAAGTGTTTCCTTTTCCTTAACTGGTGCTAGGGTCCCAGCAGGAACTTCCTGTGTGCCTGATGCTTTTCAGTTTTAATACAAGAGCTCCTCCTTCTGGGACTGTGTATTTTGGACCATTTTGCTCTCTTAGGAAAATGCAAACAAAACCAAATATGTCAGGCCGAAAAATTCACTCTGGCTCCTGTTAGGTTAAAGTAAATCACTTAATAATTCACTAAGTTTAATGAGGGATGTGCACCAAAAAGTTCTTAGGTGCTTTTCTCTCAGATCAAGGAACAGGAGCAGATGGTCTAAAGGAATCTAATTTGTATGAAAGGGGCATGAAATGCTTCTAAATCATCTGCTCTTTCACATGGGCCGTCTTCACGGATTGCACTTACTCTCAGGTGCCTTGAAAATCTGAAACTGTCTAAAATCAAAGGGGCTGGCCTCTCTGCTTTCTCACAGCACACCTCTGCTTCTAGATCTGTTCTAGCCTCTCTTGTTACCATTTCTTTTAATCAAAATATTCAGGTTCTGATTTCATTCTATTGTGATTTATACACCCATATTGCTGATTGGGGAAAAGATTGAGACGAGGAGCTGAATGAGCATGAATGATGCAGATGTGTCCATGATTAATTCTATTTCATTAACTTTCTAATTAGCTCTGTAAGTTTTCTATTTGAGTAGATTTCAACCACTGAAATTCTCTTTTAGGCGTCGGGGTGGGAAGTATGCCATAGGCTCAGCTTGCATCGGAGGCGGCCAAGGCATTGCTGTTGTCATTGAAAGCACGGCCTGAGGGATGGGGGGCCCAGCGAAGCCCCCTCACACTGGGGGCCAGGCCACAGCAAAGCAAGTGACCTCCAGAAACCAAACCTGATTCTGCTGCACGTGCCTGAGTGTGATTAAGGGATAATGAGGCAGAGATGTATTTCTCATGAATGAAGAAATAAATAAATTCTCTAAAATGTGTACAAGTATGATGTATTTCTGCACAAAAATCAGACTACAGAGGCCTTAAAAGAAATTGTATTCTCCTGGTATATAATCATCACTTATGCCTTAAATAATATATGATTGCAAGAAAGTGGAATAAATACTGCTTTAACTTCATCTAATCCTTTCCTGTCATTTCTTGGATTTTTAAAAGCTTTAATTGAGGTAAAATACACATAACATAAAATGTACCATTGTAACCATTTTTAAGTGGCATTAAATACCTTCACACTGTTGTGCAACTGCCAGCAGCCTCCACGTCCAACACTCCTGTCTTGCAGAGCTGACACCTGGCACCCATTTGATGCGGACACCTAGACCCCCACCCCCGCCCCGGCACGCACCATCTCTTCCGGGCCCCTCACAGGAAGCCAGTCATTCAGGATCTGTCCTTTGGCACCTGGGTTATCTCACCCAACAGGTGTCCTCGAGGTTTACCCTTGCCCTTGCCCCTGTCGGCACTACCTTCTTTTCTAAGACAGAACATTCCACTGTCTGTATAGACCATGTTGGTTGATCTTCCCATCCCTCTGTGGACAGTTGGGTTACGGCCACCTCTTGTTTTGTGATGAATGCTGCTCTGAACCAGGGTGGACTGATACCTGTTCATGGCCCGGTTTTGGCTCTCGGGTGTGTATCCCCAGGTGGGCTTGCTGGGTCGTGCCATAGCTCCCGTTCGCACACTTCTGGGAATTGCCCGACAGTTTTCCACAGTAGCTGCACCATTTTATACTCTTGCCAACCTTATACAAGGGTTCTGATTTTCCCATATCCTGCGCAGATACTTGCCGTTTGCTGTTTGTCTTTTACAGAGGCCACGCCCTAATGGGGTGGGGGGGTACCTCACTGTGGTGGTGAGGGGCATTTCCTTAGTGATTGGTGATGTTGAACGTCTTGTCTTGTGCATATTGACCATTCCATCTTTTTTGAAGAACTGTCTAAGTCCTTTTCTCATATTTTAAGTTGAAGTGTATTTTTTGTTGTCATTGAATTGTCTTGTATTATTTTTTTAAGTTGAAAAACCAGTTTAACTTCGGTAAGTGATGTTCATAAATCATTATGAGATAAATGTCCAAGGAGCAAATTACTGAACTTAGTCTCGATACTAATAAATGGTGTATTTATTACTGGAAAGTTAAAGGGATGCTGTTATCATAATCCTGGGGCAACACATGGAAACGGGACTATCCTTGGCAGCAGGGGCATATAAGCACCCCACTTTTAATTAAACCAAAGCACATGTCAGTGACTCCACCTCAAGTTCAAGAAAGCTGAGCAAACACTGTTTCAGGATGGATTATTGGATTTGAAGATTATCAAGGAATTGGTCAGGATGGACCTCCCTGTCAGGACTGTTGAGCGAACACTTCACAGAGGTGACAGTTGGCCCTGCAGATATCTGGGAAAAGAGCAGGTCCTAAAGCAGGAGCGCACTAGGTGTGCAAGGAGCCCGTGTGCCTGGAACAGAGTGAGCAAGATGGAGAGGGGCTGGCGATAAGTCACAGAAGCTTCCAGAAGCCTGTCATGTGGGGCCTGAGAAGCCACTGTAGGGACTTTGGCTTTTATTCTGAGTTAAAACGGACGTTTTGAGTCAAGGAGAGACCTCATCTGACTTCTAGGAAGGATGCTTCCATCTGCCCTACTGAGCTGCCAAGGGACAGCGTCGGAAGCCGGTCAGGAGGCTGCTCCACAGCCTTCCGGGCCAACAGACAGCACTGTCACCCCCTACGGGTGGCAGCGGGGCAGTGAGATGCCGTCGGACTCTCCTTATATTCTGAAGATGGAAATTTGAGATTTCCTCATGGCTTGACCGTTGGTTGAGAGAGAAGGGGGTCAAGGCTGAGCCCGGGGCTTCTCAGCCCTGGAGAGGGCAACGCTGCTGGTGGAGCAGGCCAGGGGGCCCCGTGGGCCAGGCGTCCCGCCCAGGCGCCGAGTGGGTCCTGGGGGCAGGAGGGGTGTGGGATGAGCCAGGCCTGAAGTCGTTGGCATTTACATGGGACTTGCTCAAGAATTAGTGGCCTCCTTGGCAGGATGAGCACTGGGTGTTATGCTATATTTGGCAAATTGAACTCCAATTTAAAAAAATTAATTTTAAAAAAATCCTAAAAAAAAAAAAAAAGAATTAGTGGCCTCTACCCTACGTGGATCCAAAGAGGAAAGAACAATTTTTCCTTCTATTAACACCTTTGGTGTGCATTTTTGTGACTTAAAGAAAAATTTAAATAAGAAAGAGAATAAAAAATAAAACCAAGTATGTCTGCATTGCCTTTCTGAAGACTGATCCGATTCTTTTAGGTAGTTCTTCCTCACTCTACATAATAAATGCCAGCTCTTCTACTTTCATGGAAAAAATATGTAAACTTTTTACTAAATCAAATCACTTACAATTTAGGATGGGAGCATACATTTTTAGCGGTAACCTAAAAGGAATGCCTTTGTTAAGGAGAAATAACAATTTTTATGAAGTGAACAAAGACTCCCCTTTCCCTTTCTCTTCATCTCGTTTTTTTATTCTTAAAGTGAACCCGGGGCATTATAGATTGGGTTGACTTGCATGAGGAGTCTGCACCTGCCGCCAGCCGCCAGCCCGGGGCACTCGTCCCTAGGTGGCACCACAGGCCTGTGCTGTCCCAGTCCCTTTTTTCCGCAGCATTACAGATGCTTTCCTCTGCCAAGTTGGCCACTCTGGGTCCTTGTCACCTCCTGGGAATGGAGGGAGCGAAGGGGCCGGCAGTAAAGAAACCTAGGGCTGCAGGTGGGAGACAGAGTTCTCTTCCAGCTGCTGGCCAGTGCCAGTCCCGGTGCAGGAACCTGGAAGTCCCTCTGGCCAAAACAAACTTTTATCTGGCTGCAGGGACAAAGCCGCAGACTAGGAATGCAGGGTTCTCTGGCCTCTGAGCGGCTACTGTGGAGCCCCTGAGGCTCTGGGCAGCCCCTGCCAGCCGGGGGCCCAGGGGGAACCTGCGGAGGGCAGAGTATGAGCAGCAGAGAGGAGGCAACAGCAGGGTGCTGCCCACCCCAGCCCTAGGGGCACTCGGAGCCTGCAGGGCTGCTCTCCTCCACTCCAGACCCTATTCATTCCTGAGGCCCTGGCTGCCCACAGAGCCAGGACTGCAGGGAGCTGCTTGCATCCTCCTGGCACACTTGGGGACCTCTGCTAATGGGGCCAGAGCCAGGGCGGCCCGAGAGCTGTGGGGGCAGCGGGGACGTGGAGACGCGCAGAGACAACAGGCCGATCTGCGTCCTGGGATGGGAGTGCTGCCTCGGACTCCTCGTATAACCAGTGCCTCTGGCGTGAGGGCGTCAGGAAAGAAACAGCTTCTGGGGTGCCGGGGACCCAGCAGGTGCAGCGTCTGCCTTCCGTTTGTGACCCCGGGGTCCTGGGATCGAGCCCCACGCCGGGCTCCTCGCAGGGAGCCTGCTTCTCCCTCTGCCTCGGCCCCTCTACCCCGCTTGTGTTTTTGCTCTCAAATAAATAAATAAAATCCAAAATAATAAATAAATAAAATAAAATAAATAAAAAAATAAAATAAAATAAAATAAAAAGAGGAAAGGAAAAGAAACCAGCATCTGACAGATGCAAAACTGGTCAGGAACGTGGCTGGTGTGGAAGAGCAGGCCCCGTGTGCCCAGGCACCAGGGCGCCCGCCCCCCACTGCCTGCCCTGCGCCACGAGGTGGAGGTAGAGCAACGGGACCGGGGCACGGGCCCTTCCTGGCTCGGTGCACATGGGCACACTCGAGAGGCCCAAGCTGTTGCGGACAGAAGTAAAATCCCGGCGTGCGCTCTGAACATGTAGCTCCTCAGAGCCTTTAACTAGTGGACAAGATAAAATCAGAAACTGCAGAATGAGGGGAGGTGCTGAGGGGAGGTGCTGATACTGAGACGAGGGGCAAGTTCTGCCGGTTGTGCACACTCACGCACACACGCACACATGCTGCACTTCCATGCTCCCAGGCGGAGCAAAGTCTGCACGAGCTGAGGCCACAGTGCAGATGAAGTCCCAGCCCCGCCACCAGGTGTTAGATCCCTGCGGCCCGACCAGGGGCCTGGGGCTGGGAGACAATGGGATGCGGGAGCCCGTCAGAGCGTCTCCCCGGCTCCCGGTCTGCATCTCCTGTGGCCAGCAGTGCCCTGGCCGATGTGGGGTGTGGCGCCCCCAGCTCTGGTCCCCGCCTGCGGCTCGGAGCCTGACTAGGTGCACGTGTGCCGGGCCCCGAGGACAGGCCACCTGCCAGCTGGAGGACTCTGTCTCCGTGCTGGGCCCGGCATGCCGTCCCCGCTCTCATGGTAAGGGGAGGACAGGCCTGCAGGCCCAGAGGTGACGGCCACACGACCACAGGCCAAGTCATGGACGATACGGTCATCTTTAGCCCCTTGGAGCTTTTTCTCAATGACCGTTGTAGGACACTCAGGAGGAAGTCCTCTCAACGTGGGCACGAAGCAAGTCCAGCAAGTTTCCTCCAAGACATAGGAGAGGGCCAGAAGAGAGAGAGCTGCCCGGCCAGGAACGTCAGCCATAAAGAGACGGAACCACTCTAAGTACTGCCTCCCCCTGCCAGGTTCACGACCCGGTGGTGCGGTCGTTCACCCTCCGAGGCTGCTTCGGGCCCAGGCCCTGCTCCAGGCCCCCGGGACGGGTCCTGTAGGGCAGGCTTGAAGCCCCCCTCCCTCTGCCCCTGCCCCTCTGTGGGCCCCTTCCTCTCAGATAAATAGGTAAATCTTAAAAAAAAAAAAAATACGTGTGCAGAAGACATGTAATGGGCATGTCATTCTATCCGAACACTGGTGGTGGTCATGCCCAGATGGTGCCCCAGAGGGGGTGTCGGACAGGCAACAGCGCACTCGGGGGCCAACACATGAGCCGCAGAGACCCAGATGAATCTCACAGGCTAGGACATACCGGGGCTCAGTGTGGTTGGTGGTGCCAAGTCATGAACCCGCCTCGCAGTGACCAGCAGCAAGGAGACTTCCTGTTCAACCCTGTCACTGGCTGGAGGGAGGGGAAAGAAATCTCTGGAAATGTGAACCTTGTGCTCCTACTCACACAGGTCTGCAGTCTGAATGCACATGGCCCAACTGGTCCAAAAAACAAAAAGCCCTGAAACCAAGAATTT